GAGTGTTTGTAGAGTCCTGAGTATTGATTAACTCACATTCTCACCAAGGATTTTGCCTTCTGGGTGGGCTTTTGTTTGTTTGTTTGTTTTAGCATATCCTCATACTGTAAGTTACCTACCTTTAAAAAAACTTTTGCTTATGTTAATTTTTCTCATGTGATGAGCTGTTTTTGCAGTGACTGAAACACATAAACTGCTTTTTAAAATTATTAAGTTAGGTTTATGGAGGTATAATTCACATACAGTAAAATGCACCCTATACAGTATACAGTTGTATGGGATTTGACAAAAGTATAGGCTGGTAACCACTACCATAATCAAGACGTAGAAAGTTTCATCTCCTGGAAAAGTTCCCTCCTGCCCCTTTGTAGTCAGCCCCTACTTCTTTCTCCACCTACACGCAAATACTAATTGTTTTCTTTCCCAGCAGTTTTTCCTTTTCCTACATGTCATAAAAATGGAATGATATACTCTGTAGCCTTCTTTGTCTGTCTTCTTCCACTTAGTATGGTGCATTTGTGATTCATCTATGTTGCTGCATGCATCAGTAGTTCATTCCTTTTATTTGCTGCATAGTATTTTACTGTGTGGTTTACCACAGTCTGTCTATTCGTTCACCATTTTGAGGGGTTTACAGTTTTGGAAATTATGAATAAAGTCACTATAAACATTTGCGTACAGGTTTTGTACGCAAAACATGTTTTTGTTTCTCTTGGATAAATACCTAGGAGTAGGATTGGCAGTTTGTATGCTAAGTGCATGTTTGATTTCATAAGAAGCTGCCAAACTGTTTTTCAAAGTGGTAGTACCATGTTGCATTCCCTCCAGCAATGTTTGAGAGTCCCAGGTGCTTTGCGTTCTTGTCAGCACTTGTTACTGCCAGGTGTTTTTTGTTTCTTGCTTGTGTGGTTGATTTTTTTACTTTGTCCATTCTGACAGTTGTATCATGGTATCTCATTGTGGTTTTTTAAAAATTTTTTTAGTTTTTTTTCATTGTGGTTTTAATTTGCATTTCCCAAATAACTAATGATGTTGAGCATCTTTCATGTGCCTATTTGTCATTTATAGATCTTTGCTTTTAAAATCTTTTGATTTACATATATATATGTATATACATACATATATATATAAATTTTGGGGTTTTTTAATTGCTGAGTTTTGAGAGTTTTTTTTAATATTCTAGATAGAAGTTTTTGAATCACATAGGTATTTTGCAAATAATTTTTCACAGTCTAAGGACTGTCTTTTCATTTTCTTGATAGTACCTTTGGAAGAGCAAGAGTTTTGAATTTTGAACCTGCCAGTGGCTTTTTAAATCAATTTCCTCGTAAAGGGTATGATACACTTGTCAATCTCAAATTCTGAGCCACCATCAAATCTTGAATTTCATTTTTTAATTTAGCAAAAAAAAATTTTTTTTCTGTCTTGTGAGCCATCACTTTTTTCCCTCTTCATTTTGTTTTCATTGACATCATTGATGTTAGGGCTGGCTTTTTTTTTTTTAACACAAAGAAACAGAGTTTTGTCTTGTTTAATTACTCCGCAAACTATTACCTATATGATGATGATCAGCAGAGCTGCACTGGGTGACAATGCCAAGTTGTCAGCCAGGCTCACTCACTCACCAAGTGGCCCCCACACAGCAGCATTGTCGGGTGTGATGCAGGTGTGTCTGAGCAGAATTACAGATCACTGCATGTCCACTAAGATGTAAGCTCCTTGAGATCAGGGACTCTCTGTTTTGTTGCTAGCCCTAGAATAGGGCCTAATGCTCAGAAAATAATGACTGAATGCAGTTCGATGAATGCCTTCATGAAGGGCAATGCAGGATGTCCCATGGCATCCAAGGCTGTGGCTCTCAGGGTCAGCTCAGGACTTAGGCCAGCACTGTGAATGTCAAAGCTTGAATGGCAAGGAGCAGCCAAGAGCCCTCTCCTGGGGACCTTACCTGCTTTCCAGAGTGTGGAGAGAGAATCCCAGGGCCCTGACCTTGACTAGCATTTTTTTAGGGAGACCTCAGTTTCTAAGGGAGGAACTTAGGTAAGTCCACACCAGCACTGTAAAGCGTACAGGCTGTAACGAGAGCTGTATCTCTGTAACTGGGTGATGTGAGACCATTTGTGGAATTCTGCCGTTCTGCCTCCTTCCGACCGCCCCAGGCCTGCATAACTCCTCCCCCACCCCCAAAATGGTGGAGGGATCAGGCCAAGGTTGAAGTCATGGCCAGAGCCAAAGCCAGGCTGCCTGTGGTAGAGCCCAGTTCATCCCCACCTCATCGCCCTGCTTTTGTCCTGATCTTCTTTTGGCTTACGGTGTGTGGTTTCAGCATTTGGGCCAGCTTTTAATCATGACACAGTCCCATCTTTTAAGGGCTGAGTGAGTCCTCCAAAAGAAGAAACTCCTGAAGAGAAGATTTTCCTTAAATGTTGAGGCTTGCTCCTCCTTCTAAGAGTCTTATTTTACTGGTAATTCAAGAGGGAAAAAGTGGAAGCTCCAGATTTAGGGCAAGTGAAGAATTTGGGGGAAGGGAGGGTGTGTGTGCGTGTGTGCGTGTGCATGGTGGATGGGTAGTGGGGTGGCTGTGGGCCACGGGCAGGGAGGCAGCAATTCACGCAAAGTGGTCCCAGCTGCCCCTGGTTTAGGGCTAATCCCGGCTCTGCTCCAGCCTGTCATTCAGGGTAAGCTGCTGTCATTAGTGGTTAAATGTTTCTGAAAGTATTCTCTCTCAACTCTAACCACATGCCCTTTTGGGGAAGGGAGGGAGGGGCCAGGAGAGTAAGGGGACCCACCCTGTTGTCATGCCCAGCTGCTCTGCAGAGGGACAGGGAGCCCAGGGCACTAGAAGTAATCACGGAGCCCGTGCATGTGACATAACTGATGTCGCATTTTCTGTGCTGCCGCACATGGCCTGCCATGCCTTGAGGGTCGCAGCCCTCTGCCATGGGCTGTAAGTACCGAATCACAGAGGCTTTTTTTTTTGGTCCTTTTAAGGGGGTTGGCTGACATAAACCTTCTGTTAAGCAATTTTATCTCTCTCAAGCTCTCTGCCCTCAACACATATATACACATTCACCAGTGGCTAGAGACTGTCTTTCCCTCTGGAACTAGTCTACACTCATCTTGCTTTCGATTGTGGTAAAATGCTCAATCCTAATGTTTCTTCCCATGAAGTGGGGACACTGAGATATTTTTCTTGACTGAGGTGTGGTTGACAGCTTTTGATTTATAAAATTAGCTCAGGGAAAAACAAGATGGAAAAAGAGAGTCCAAATTAAATCTTTATTTCCATAGCTCAGTTGTGCCCTCTCTCCATTTTTAACTGCCACACAGGCTTAAGGTATGAAGGACTCCGGGCTTTGCTAGGTCTCTCCTCCTCCTCATCTTTCTTCTCCTTCTCCTCTTCTCCTTCTCCTTATTCATCTCTTCTTCTGTTTTGGCCCAAGAAAAAAACTTTTTTTCTTTTTAAATAATTGCGTTTTTTCCCTTGTTCAAAAGTAGACAGGCTTCATGAAGAAAAGCAGAGAAAAACCTAGAAAAGCACCAAAGGAAAAACTAAAGGCATCCACATACCCAATGTCCCAAGATAATCACTGTGAACATTTTGGTTTGTACCCATCTTGCTGGAGATTGTAGTCGATGGGGGCGCTTCTGACTCCCCTAGGAACCTGAGTTTGTTGTGCTGTAGGTTTGTCCCAACACACTGGACCAGAGGGTCTCACCAGGAGAGGTGTTCTGGGTGGGTATAGAGCCTCCCAGTTGGGGAACTCTCTTTACTAGGGTCTTCATCTTGCCATTGGCCAAGTGACCAGTGAATGAATAGCCTGGAAGGGATTAAGCCTAAGTCCCAGGTTTCCCACACCCAGCCTTCAACCAAAGAGCATGGGCTCTTGACCTTAGAGCACCTGGCTTTGAGTCTTTGCTCCATTGCTTACTTTTCTTGGTGTCTGTTTTCTCATCTGTAAAATGGGCGTGATAATAGTAAGCTTCCTCTAGGGTTGCCATGTTAAATGAGATGGTAACATGTAAAGTGCACAGTGCACCGCAGGTACCTGGAGCATGATGTTCTAGCTCAGTGCACATTAACTTCCGTAGTCACTGTTTTCAGTTTATTGTTGGTGGTATCTTCACTGCCCTGTGTTCCATGGTTATAAATTGTTCTCCGGACCTCTGTTTCTCTGCATGGAGGGGGTGGTCTTTTCTTCACTGGGTAGTATTTAAATCATCTCACTATTGAAAAGTAGTATATAATGATTAAGTAGTAGAATAATCTCCTTTGACAAAACTGAAACTGAAGAGCAGGGGAGCTGTGACATTTTCATTGAGTGAATGAAGTCAAGCCACAACCGGACCACGAGAACACATACCACCTGTTGCCTTGTGTTCTCTGAAGACGTCAGACGGATTATTTGCTGCTGGATCCCACCATTTTCCTTGTGGGATGGATCCCTCTCTGCATTGTTCCTCATTTACTTGCATGGACCAGAGTCACCTTTTCTAGATAAAACATGTCAAGTACATGTTGGCTGAAGTGGTCTAATGCCCCTTGACCTTTATGGCCAAGGGAAGCTTGTTTCTGGCTGTAAAGAAAATGGATTTGAATAAGTTTGGGGCTCTTTTTTTTGGCTAATAGTAGAAATATGTCATCTGTAGTCTGTCCAGTGATTCTTGTTTATTTCTTACATTCAAGCCCAATAAAAATAATGTGATGGTTACAGGATATTTTGCCAGTTATTTCAGATGTGGGGGCAGTTCACTCTGGATTTGTTTACTTCAAGTGGAAAAGTTTACCCAAAATTGCCTTCTGTGCTTTTACCAAGAAGGGAGCTTACCTGGATCTCTCCGTTCGGGGCCAGCTTCTGTCAAGTCAAAGACAAGAAGGACTGTTACAGGGCTGATTTCCCATAAATAGCAAGAGAGGGAATATGGTGACTTCAGTGGGGCACACTCCTTTCTTTTCCACAGTGACTTATATCTGTCTGCTTTATACTTTGAACCCCCAGGACGCACAGACATTCAGGTGGTTCGGCCAGAACAGCCACAACAACCGGCGAGCAGAGCCCCAGTACTAGCAGCCGGCACCACCAGCCCGTCAAGAACCCAAGCCACAGTGGCTTGGCCAATGGCACAGGTGAGTGACATTGCAGAGCACCAGCCCGGACTAGAGCGTGTCCTCTTACCTGTTCGTGCCCGGAGTGGGGGCTCTGCCTGCCGTATCAGAACGCAGGGTGGGCGAGAGGTGACTCCCATACCAAGATGAAATTTGAATCCATCAGTCTCTCCATGACCCATCTTCTTTTCTCTCTGGCATATCCTGCACAGCCAAAGTTATTCTCCACGTGACTCTTCTCAAATCTTCCTTTGCACAGAAATAAGAGAGTATTGATTTTTAGATTTCTTTCTTATCGATGTTGGATTTCCTGGTGGGAAGAGTATCTTATTTATACATGACACTTCAAAAAATTTTCCTTAATTTAAGGAAATGATCAGACTAGGAAGAAAGAAGTGTAACTATCGTTAAGAGCTGGCTTAGAGAAGATGGCCACGCTGTCGAGTGGGTGGGGATGCTGCTGGACCAGGAACGAAGCCCAGCTGCCACTGGGGGGCCTCCTGTGCCTGTTCCAGGGAGAGTATTTGCCCCTTTTGAGAGTAGAGAGCCATTCCACAGCCACGTGGAAGGAGTCTCTGTACTTGGTTCTGCTTCTCCGGTAAGTGGGAGGAGAAGGACCTATTTCAACACAAATCAGTTTTTGTCATGCTTTTCTTCTGTCTCATTGGGACAGTGTTGAATTAAAAAGGAAAAAGACAAAGAAAAAAGTTCTTTTTTCCTGAACATCTTGAAGATTGTCGAATCTTTTGTGACTGCTGGTCATTTGGTAATTTGTCTTAATTTGGGGCAGGTGGGAAGGGACCCAGACGTTTGCTTCGATTTAAACTGTAGGTGAATTAAATGCAGGTGTTTAAATCAGTAAGTTGATGTTGAAATAATTCTGTAGATCCTTGTGATAGCAGAGCTGTGGCATGAAGATGGGAAATGTGGGGCGGTACAGCTTCTGCAGATACTCGTCACCATGGTACTGTCACCGCCGTTTGTGTGACAGACTCATCAAGAAGGGGAAAGTGATTTGGATTACTTGCTAATGCCTTTCAGTTCTCTGGCAGCACCGTATGAGGGCTGCGGAGCCCCTTTGATGGCTTATGGTGCCTGGTTATCGTGTTGTCGTGACAGTCTGGCTGGCCTGTGTCACTGTGGGTGCGGTGGCCTGACTTTCTCCCTGCGGTTGGGGACCTGCCTGCAGTAATTGAGTTGCCTGGCTCGCCCTGAGCCTTGAGGACGAGGATGAGCTTGGAGGCGAGGCGTATGAGCGGCTGCTGTCTCAGCCCACTTGGCGCTCCTGTGCCAACCACCGTATCCAAGTGCTGGAACAGCCAGTCATAGGAGCTAGGGGTGGCCTGGCTGCCTGTCTGTGTGGTGGGGACAGCAGGGTGGTGGCTGTGGACCGTGTCAGAGAAAACCATATGAAGCTCCACAAGCACCAGTAAACATGCTTCTCTTAGAAGAATAAGTCACTCATAGAGGAATAAGTCACTCACAGATGGGCAAGGGGAACTGGCTTTTGGAACAAGTGGTTACCTGGATGCCGAGCCGTGACACCAGCCGCTTTGTTCTTCGAGGGGCCTACGTTATTGTGATACCGGTTTCCCTCAGCCATCTCTGCTTTTCTTATAAAAGCTATCAGCAAATTGACTTTATGTGGTGACGGTCTTTGAGTCATTCTTACTGGACATTGAAACAGGTCTCTGTTTCCCCTACACTTATTTTTAGGAATCTTTGCGTATTGTCCTTATCTCCAGGAACATGGTGTATTTCAGCAGACAAGGCAGGTGCCAGCCACATCTTCAGAAAGCCAAATATCTGTAACCCCAGACTGCCTCAGACATGCTTTATGCTGCTTGCACCTGAAAGTGCAGACTGTTCCCAGAACGCATCTGTAAGGGACAGTTGCTGAATGTTTCTGTTAAAGTGCTAAGGCTTTGGCCCCTGTCTCGTCTCTCTCCTTTCTGCTGTGATGACGGCTCACCTTTGCTTCCCAGCCAGCCTGGGCTTTGTCGGCTTTTCAGTGTCTATCCAAGGGGTATAGAAAGAGCTCACCTTTCCTTTGGGGAGCAGACAGGAGGACCCCTCTTTGGCAGTGCAAAGCTAGAAGAGGGGTTGAGGCTTTGATTGAGGACATCCCTGTCCATCAACACGGCGCTGTTAGAACTATGAGGATCGGTTCCAAGATGGTGGTGGTAGTGAGCCGTGCCTCCAGGAAATGTTTCCAAAGACATACAAGATTTATTTAGCAAGCCTTTTTGGCTGCGCTCTGCAGTTATGCATGAAAAAGACATTTGGGGCAGAAACAGAGCCGAGTTCCAGGTGGTTTTTTCATGTTGTCACAACTGTAAAGTATCCATTTTTGTTAAATGAAAGTGAATGGCAGCCTGTCTGTATAAATATATTATTTCTAAGTTTTAGAAGTGGTGGATTGAGACCTAGGCTAATGCCATAGCACTTTATTGAGACTTGTGTGCAATGATTTACTTTCTAATTTTTTTTATTGAAAACTTTATCCAAAAAAGAAAAAAAATTATGTCTCTCACTCACTCCTCCCTCAAATGTGATTTCCATGCACATAAGGTTGGGAGTCACACTGGCTGTGGTCAGATTCTGTCCCCTGTGTCTAGCATGTGTATAAGGCCCAGTGACTCGTTGGGCCTTTGTTTTCTCATTAATAAAATTAAGATAGGAGTGTATATCTCATAGGGTTCTTATAAGGAATAAATTATATAAAACATAGAGAGTCCAGCACAGCACCTGGGACTTAGTAAGCTCTCAGAGTTAGCTTCTATCTTTATGAATAATTTCATACAATTGTAATTATGCAGTGTGGATAAATGTTCTTTTCTTTCCCACTTCATAATTTTTGATACATGTGTCCATGTCCTGTGGTCTTCTTATTTACCTTTTTTTAGTGGCCTCGTACTACTTCGCAGTTAATATGCCATGATTCATATAACCATTTCTCAGTCCTTAATGTATTTCCCTTTGTGAAACAAAATCCTGATGCAAACATCTTAGCACGCAACTTTGTTTCTTCTGGAATGAATTTCCTGATTCAAAGGATAAGAATTTAAAAAATCTAATGTATATTACTAGATTGCCTTCCAAAAGTTTGAAGTAATCATAGGCATTGTAAGGCCTTGTAAGGCATTGTAAAATTTTCCTTCTGGTATATTAGGTTTGTTTTCCCCTTGATCTTGTAAATGCTGGTTTGTCATTTTGCTGACAGGTATTAAGTGCCACCTTATTGTTTGGTCTCACTGCATTTCTACAGGTTATCAGTTGCTTGACTATTTCTTTTCTCTTACACGACTTTTCTCATAGTGTCTGGTTATTTGTTTTGTGGAGATTTAGAAGTTTGTTTTAGAGATTCATGTAGTCTGTAAATTGAAATTGGGGTAAAATACTCATAACATAAAATTTACCATTTAAACCATTTTTAAGTGTGTCATTCATTGGCATTGAGTACATTCACAATGTTGTGCAACTACACCACTATCCATTTCCAGAACTTTCCATTATCCCAAACTGAAACTTTGTACCTTTTAAGCAAAAACATTCTCCTTTCTTCCTGCCCACTCAGCCCCAGCCCCTGGTAACCTCTGTTCTACTTTATGTCTCTATGAATTTACTTATTCCAGGTACCTCATATTATGAGTGGAATTAATTGGTCCTTTTGTCTCTGGCATATTTCACTTAGCATAATGCTTTCAAGATTCATCCATGTTGTAGTATGTATCAAGATTTTGTTCCTTTTTCAGTTTGAATAATATTCCATCGTATGTCTTTACCACATTTAACTTATCCATTCCTCTGTCAATAGACATTTGGGCTGTGTCCACCTCGTGGCTCTTGTGAATAATGCTGCTGTGAACATGGGTGTATAGGTATCTGTTTGAGTCTGTGCTTTCAGTTCTTTTGCCTGTATGCCTTGGAGCAGGGTTGATGAGTCAAATAATTCTATGTGTAACTTTTGAGGAACCCTCAAACTGTTTCCCAGAGGAGCTGCACTGTTTTGCATTCGCACCAGCAGTGAATGAGGGTTCCAATTTTTCCACATTCTTGCCAACACTTGTTTTTATCTGTTTTGTTTTGTTTTTTTGACAATAGCATCCTAATGGGTGTGAAGTACCTAGGTATAAGTTTTATCTGTTATATTTATGACTGTAAGTTTTCCCCCTACATCACTGTTTTTAAAATCTCATTTTCTGTAGTTTTTGTAGAGGAGGAGTTAAAAACTTAAAAACGAATTGTGCTGAGCATTTTTTTTAATGTTTGTAATTTTACCTTTTGCTTCAATAGTAAAAAGATTATCTCTTGTCTATAAATGGAATAAATACTTTATTCTGTTTTACTCTTTTTCATGTTAAAAAATAACTACCCCAGGGGAATTTATAGTAGTATATCTGTATCTATACATAGAGAAGTGTACTGAAGGCTGGGTGTAAATTAATTTTTGTCTATGATGAGGTCCTATTATCCCATAAACATTAGTTTTTTTCTCGCTGTGGTTTTACTTAGTGTTTATCACTTACTATATCTTATATGCAGCTGAGTATTCATTTCTGGACCCCTTACTCATCCCATTCATTTGTTTCTGGTTTTGAGCCAGTCTTGTGTGATTTTGATTGTTGATTTGTTACAGGATGTTTTTCTAATGTCTGAAATAGCAACTCCTGCCTTATTGCTTTTTCTTCACGATATTCTTTGATAGTTTGTACATTTTCAAAACACATTTCAGACTCTGAATGCTTAGAAGCGTGGTGGAATATGAATGGAATTTCTATGAATCTATGTATTGACCGAGGAAAGATTGAACTTTCCCATCAGGTGACATGGTATGGCTTTATCCATTAAAAAATTTTTTTTAATGGAGTTACTGGGGATTGAACCCAGGACCTTGTGCATGCTAAGCATGCGCTCTACCACTGAGCTATAACCACTCCCCCTGGCTTTATCCATCTTCTTTTTTCCATCTGATTTAATTGCTCTTCTTTATATAGTCCTCACCCACCTGTGTCACGCTAACTATGAAATATTTTTCTAGTTTTGGTGGCTCTTGTGAAGAGCTGAGTTGATCGAATGCATTGGAAAGCATTGCTTGGGTTTCACGGGTGAGAGATACTGACTGCTTTACCGTGTATCCTGTGTTATGAGCTGATCTTCAGTTTAAAAAGCTACCATTGCCAGCAGCCGCCTTCCCCATGCCCGGGTGAGGGGGCTGAACAGACCTGTGTGTGCAGCTAGAGCCTGTGCCACACCACACACGCACCTAAAGACCCTGGAACACACAGTGAGCTGGCCAGGACTAAGAAAAAGAATTTCCAATTCCTGATCTTTTTTTGGCTAAATGTGACTAGGGTATGTCTTAGTCCTGAATGAATATCTGATTCATAAAGTTAGAATGTTTAACCAACATCACAGAGGGAACCTTGTGAAATGCCCACAGTTGCAGCAACCGAGGCCATCCCACTGCTGTTTTATGTCCTCACCCCATTTACCCTCTCATCTTGGTACCCAGCTCTTCTTCCCATACAGGAAAGCCCTCTCAGCTGTCTTCGTTTCTCTCCCCCAACCCCTGTTTTTACTTAATGGTCTTCTGGATTTGAGTGCTGGTTCTGCTCCTTGCTTGGCACCTCTCTGAATGGTACTTCTGGGAGCCTCAGTTTTGTCTTCAGTAAAATAGGAATAATATTGTCTTCCTTGCGGGGCTGCATGGAGGATAAATGAGCTAATGAAAGTGAACTTGCAAAAAACAACCCGGGATCCCGGATTGGATCTTGGAATCATGAAAGGACATTAGTGGAAAAGCTGGCAAAATCCAAATAAAAAGTCTGGAGTTTAATTAATGGTAATGGACTAGTGTTAATTTTTTTAGCTTTGACAAATGTGCCATAATTAAGCGAGGTAGTAGTATTACATAGCATGGATGAGGGGCATGTTGTCTTTGTTCTATCTTTGTGACTATTCTATAAATTTAAAATTATTCCAAAATTTAAACAATTTTAAAAGAACCTGCTTTGCAAATGCTATTGTTAAAATGTGAAGTGGTTTTATTTCAAATATCTTTGGCTAGATTATTAGGCCTTTTGCACACGTATTTATTCAACAAATATTTATCGAATGCTGTTTTGCTAAGCACCGTGAACAGCGCAAAGAAGTATCAAATAAGGCCTCTGCCCTATCATCTGTTTCAGGAAAAGAAGCTGAAAAGACACTGGCAGCCAAGTACCAGCACAGCAGATGTCACTAGGCTGAATGGTTGGGTAGCCAAGACTGCAGGCGCTGGGGGTCTGCAAAGGGCCGAGTCTGGGCTGAGTGGCAGCAGTGGTGGGGCCTCTGGGAGGAGGGTGAGGTGAGCAAAGGGATGGAGGCAAGAATGCAGGAGGCAGAGAGTGGAAGCAGCAAAAAAATGAAGGCGAACAAATGTGCCCTCACTCTCAAGAAGGGTACTGTCTTTTGGGAGAGATAAGTTGTGTACATCAAGTAATGAGGATTAATAGTGAACATTGGTTATATTGAATAGAGCTAAAATGCAAAATGCAGCAGTTCTCCAGGGCATGGTGAAATTGTAACTCCTCGTCTTCCACAATCTCATTTTTCTCTCCACTTGAAGCCACATCATGGCTCAGTTATGGTGCTCTGTCACTACTTTACTGAGGTGACCGTGGGACAGTAACTGAACTGTCTGAACTTTAGTTTCTTCTAAGTATAAGCTGCGATGGGGTGGATTTACCCCTAAGGTTTCAAGCCCTTATGTTCTAAGAATGTGTGTGTACATATAGGCACACCTTGTTTTATTGCTCTTCACTGTATTGTGCTTTGCAGATACTGCATTTTTGGCAATTGAAGGTCTGTGGCAACCCTGCATCGAGCAATCTGTCAGCACCATTTTTCCAGCAGCATTTGCTCACTTTGTGTCTCCCTATCATATTTTGGTAATTATTGCATATTTCAAACCCTCTATCCTTGAGAAGATTACGACTCACTAAGATGACAGTTAGCATTTTCAGCCATAAAGTATTTTTTAATTAAGGTACTTTTTTTTTTTAAGACATAATGCTCTTGCACACTTGATAGTCTGTAGTACGGTGTAAATATAATTTATATGCACTGGGAGACCAAAAAAATTTGTGTGATTAGCTTTCTCTCAAGATTTGCTTAATTGCGGTGGTCTAGAGCCAAACCCACAGTATCTCTGAGGTACACAAACAAACACACTCTCTTTGTGAACACGGACTCTAAGTGTAGTTGTATAAAGTTGATGATAATTTTTCCCAGTTTGTTGTTTTTCTTTTGATTTTAATTTTGCCTCTGGTGGTTTTTATTTTTTATTTTTTGCCATTTAGATTTTAAAAAATTTAATGTAGTTGAATTCATCAGTCTTTTATGACTTTTAGATTTTGTGTGATACTTCAGAAAGTCTTTTCTGCTTTGAGATTATAAAAGGATTCTCTATTTTCTTTAGTTCCTCTGTGATTTCATTTTTTATGTCAAAATTTCTGATCTGATTAAGGAGTGAGGAGTGCTCTTACTCAGTTTTTGTCCAGTACTCTACCCAGTTGTGACAGTACCATTTACTAAATAGTCTGTCTTTTCTGCAGTAATCTAAAATGTCACCTTTGTCATATACTAAATTCCCAAATTCCAATGTGTATTTAATTCTGTTTCTGAACTTTCTGCTTATTTAATCAGCATCTGCCTATTCATGTATTGGTGCCACATTGTTTTAACTGTTGTAGCTTTATAATATGTGTTAGTACCTTGGAGAACTAAAACCCACCCCCACCCTATGCACACATGCACATAGAATTTTTCATGTCTAGACTTTTTATGACTATTCTTCTGTTTTTAGTTTTCCTTATAAATTTTAGAATATATTTAATTCTCAAAAAAGTCATGATGGTTTTTTAAATGGAATTGAGTAAAATTTATAGATTTGTACAAAGAGAATTGCCATCTGTTGTGTTATATAAACTCAGCTAAGATAGAAATATAAATATAAATTCTTGCATTTTTGTTGGGGAAACATTAGTTGTGCAAAATATAGTCATTTATTAAACAACCAACGTAGTCTGTGTGCCAGACAATGTTTCATATATTGGAGAGAAAGCCGTAAATTAATCATAGGTAGTTCCTAGGCTCTTCATTTGTTAAGATCAAGCTTAGCTTCCTATCATGTGAAGAAATTTTAGTTTCAGCTGGCCACTGGCCTCATGTTAGCCAATAGGATCACGTGGCTGCTTCAGAGTTATTCTGATCTTGGGCCCCATTAGAGAGGGAGAGTGGAGCGAGTGAGCGGTTCAGGCTCTGGGGTCAGATGGTGGGGATGTGAATTAGGTGCCCTGTGACCTTGAAAGGTTGTTTAACCTCTTGGAACTTTTGTTTCTTCAGCTGTAAAATGGGCAGATATTAATTGTATCTAACTTGTGGGGTTGTGTCTGAGGCTGAAATGAGAAAATCTAAAATGCTTTGCACTTTGCCTGGCACATACTGGTGTTCTGTACATACGACTAATGTCATTTCTATTGGAAATCTGACTCTGCTGGTCTGATGGTGTTTGATTTGTTATGTTTAGTTCCTGATGCCAGTAGTTAGAAATGGGAGGCGATAGAAGTTATCTACGAGAGGCAGCCAGGTGGTAAGAGGAGGGTGACCTAGAAACATTAAAGAAATAGTTGGCCTCTGTACTGAAACAGAGAAGGAGAATGAGAAACAGGGTGGCCAGATACTTACGTTGTACTGCTTGGGGCGTGGGGACTAAGAACCGCTGTCAGAATTCAGTTTAATGTGAGAGACATCTTTTCAGCAGCTGTGTCTGTTCAACAGTGAAATGGCTCTGTAGCGAGCTGCCTGTTAGAAGAAATGTTCAAGGGGAATCTGGCTGGCCATTTGTTAGGGAAACCGTAAGAGGAGTTTCTGAATTAGGAAGATGAGGCTAAACCAAGGGGTTTTCTTTTGAAATTCCAGTGGCATTGTGCACGTACATAATCATGTATGTAGAAAATTCTCTGTGTATGGCTTCTCCATTTTCAAAGAATTTTAATTCTTTGAAATGGTGTTTGATCCCTTTTTTGAGTGAGAGGATATTGCAGTGCCTTGGGGTCCTGGTGAACAGGAGTGATCATCAAAGAAATGGAGAAATGAAGAGACTCAGGAAACAGCTTATTTCACTTTTGTCTCTTTGCCTGTTTCTACCTTGGAGACAAGTCCCTTCTCTTGGAGCCCCATCTTTTTGCATCTAGGGTGTTAATCCTTGCTCCCCACTTTGAGCATGAGGCTTTAAAGGGACGAGTGTATTATTGGAAGTTTTCTACCTCTTATTGTGTATGGAGCTTTTTGAAGGAAGATGCTGTTTATGCCTAGCAGACAAATGACACGTTTAAAGAAAGTGTGCAGCCCTATAAACTTGGCTTTGGCCTTGGCTGTGCTCCGTGAAGCACTAACACACTTCCCTGTTACCTTGTTTTTTTCTCCTACTCTTTTATTGCAGTAATTGTAACCATAGTATGTTAGAAAGTTTTAATAAAGTTTTATAAAAGAGGTGATATTTAATAATCTGTTTATTTCAGATCCATCTCCCAGGTTTCTTCACGGAGGCCATTACTGACTCACTGTAACTTCCAAAATACGTTTTGTAAACCTTTTTGCCATCACCGGATAACATGCAGGATAACCTTGTAGGTCTTGTGTTCTCCTATTTAGTGAAAAACCTAGTAAATGTGAACTCAGCTCTTAGCTGATCTCTAAAATATGATTTGTATATTTTCAGTGAACGATGAACCCACTGCAGCCCCTGATCCTGAAGAACCCTCTGTTGTGGGTGTGACGTCCCCGCCTGCTGCAGCGTCGAGCGTGACCCCGAACCCCACCGCAGCGGCTCTCCCTGCCACGGCCACGCCGGCCGAGGGACAGGAGCCCAGCACTTCGGGCACACAGCAGCTCCCAGCCGCTGTCCAGGCCCCCGACGCTCTGCCTGCTGGGTGAGTAGCCTTCTGTCCCACAGCAGCCCTCCCCACCACCTCCTAAAGCAACAACAACAACTGGGGGCTCCTTCGCCAGGGCCGAAACAAGGGGCTATTTATTACCTGGTGGCTTAGGAGTCTCTAGGGAGGCTGTCATGCATAGGAGTGAGGGAGGCATGGAAGAACTGCTTGTTCTGCATAAATCTTGAAAAGAACCTAAATCATCTGGGGCAGAATCAATGCTACCTTATACTGTGACTTGACACCAACAGCTTGACTCAGAAGAGAGTGTGGCTTTCATGGAACAAGGAGCTCATTTTGCCTTCCGAAATCACGGGAGGGTGTTTGCCTAGATCCTGCCTGGAAAACAGCTATTCTTTCTTGCATTTTATCTTAACGTGCCATGGAGGGCTTGAGGCTCTGAATGTTACTATCTGTTACCCCCATGGCCAGAGCTGAGGGACTACTAGTTTTCTTGCCATCCTTTAGTTCAGAATTAAATCTGATGCTAAAGGCCTTGGATGACAAGCAGATGGCCCCAGCAAGCCAAAAGGAAGTTCAAGGTTGGCCATATAGTAAGTGGAGATGAAGAGTGTGGACCTGGAATCAAGTCCCCACTCAACCCTACATGACCTTGCAGGAATGACTTACCATCTCAGTGAGGAGGAGAGGGTAGTCATCCATATCTCCCCGGGAGGTTTAGGGGCTCAAATAAGAAAGCACATGTGAAGCCCTCATCCAGTGGTGGGTGTTATACCTGGTGAATGATATTTTGGAAGCGGTTGTAAAGGAACCATTAAGGAGGGGAATGGTTCTGAACCAGAAAACAGTCTTACCTCAGGATTACCAGTCACAGCCAGGGCCAGTCCTATTGTGGACCCACAGCCCATCCCGGTTATCAATTTGGTGCTGAGGAGACAATGTCCATATGCCCCCAGTCACCGTGGTTTGGCCAATGGTAGTGATGGTGGGTGGGTGGTTCCTCTGAGCCCTTGTAATTCATAGAGGAAAAGGGAAGGGTGGACTGTCTTTTGCTTGATGTATGACACACTGTATTGTTCTTGAACCACTTTAGAAAATCCAATTGTTCAAACAAAAATCCTAAATCTAAAGGTACTTGCGACTTTTACCACATACATTTCGCATTCCTAGCATTTGGCACACTGCCTAACTTAGGGTTCTTAGTAAAGCACGATGAACACATGAAAAGCATTGCACCTAGTTCTTAAAACCTCAGACCTGTAGAGACTTGGGGGTATTGAGGGGCAGCTCTGAAAAGTTTGTTGTGAAGTTTCTGATTTTGTGAAAAGATTCATAATGAATTGCTTGTGTGCAACTCCTCCCTACGGAAGTTTTTTTTTCCCCCTCTCTTGTATGTGGTAAGGATTGCTCGAAAGACCTTTGTTTGGTTTATAATTTGGGGGGGGGAGAGCGGAATCATTTTGGCAGAAAGGGGAGAAAATGGCCGCCTGAGTCCCCCGTGAGCTGTTTGTTTTCTTTCCGCTGAGCAAATGCCTGGAGGGCGGGCTTCACTCCTGTGTCAGTCACAGGCAATTAGGGCTAATGGCTCAACGTGTCTTTATGTAGGGCATGTGTGAGGGTTACTGTTCTCCCGGATTGGGCTCTTCCTGTTTCCAGGCAGCTGGAAAACTCCAGGCCCTGAAAACTCTCTTTCTTCTAAGTCTGGCGGTTGGAGTGGTGCAGGGAAGCCGGCTCCCCCACCCCACAGTCCCCGCCAGAGGCTGAAATGCTTTTCCTAGGTAGAGTGTGGGCAGCATCTTCTCCGTGGCCTGTGTAGAATGAGATGAGGCCCTGTGTGCTGGTCTGGGGAGGCCACACCCCACTATAACACATATGACAGGCCCAAGAAGGGTACTGAGACCCAGTTTTACAGCCCAAATGGGCTTCTGGGTGCCCATCCACAAGACAGTGAGGAGCTCCGCTACTTTGCAGGCTGTCTCAGGGCCTGGGAATCATCGGCTACCTAGATTGCCACCAGCACTGCTGAGTGCGTGGCAGTGGGGATGGCAGGCTTTCAGGGCACTGCTCTCTGATGGCAGGCCAGAAAGGGCACACTTGCTACGGCCAGCCTTCCAATTCACAGACCTGCCGTCCCCACCCCAGCTTATTTACAAGTTTAGAAGGTCCAGGCGAGATAGTTAATCCTCTCTTCCTGGTGTCTTGTCCTCGGGAGTCAGGGACCACTTTAAATTAAACTCTGAGCATGACACTTCACCACTTAGAATGCTACAGTGGCGTCCTATTGTCTTTAGGGATGAATTCTCAAATTCTTAATAAGACCTAAAAAGCCCTGCAGGATAGGACCTCATCTAGCCCTCAGGCCTTCCGTGGAAGACACTGTTTACTTTGCTCTCTAAGCTCAAGTTATAATAACTTCTTTCAGTTTGACAAGTGTACCACCTTTTCTCTGGACTTGGGGACCCTCTGCCATGCTGGTTACGCTTTCAGAAACCATCCTCACCATTTTGTCGGTTAGTTTCTATCTATCTTCAAGTCTCAGCTTAATCAGCACTTCCTCTGGGAGTCCTTCCTCTATCCCCCGTAGACCAGGTCAGACCGCCCTGTGTACTGTAACTCTTCTCACACATATAATTGCTTGTTTTTCGTCTCTGTGCCCTGCTGGGCTTTAAATCCAAGATGGCAAGGAGCCTGGCACAAAGTTGGCCCCCAAGACGTATTTGTAATGAATAAATGAATCAATTTAAATGCCATCTTTTTTTTTCCTTCCACCTGGATGAATGTTTTTTGCTTCTTTGATGCCTCAAATAAAGAGCAACTATGGCAGGAATATTGCACTTTCTTCCCAAGAGCAAGACCTTAAGAGGTCATTGGCTGGGTTTGCCTGGCTTTGGGTTCAAGTATGAATCTCTTACAGGGTCTGGATGCTCTTTCCTGCTCACTAGGGGTCCGCATGCCCTGCGAGACACTGTGGAGTATGCCTCCCCTTTGCTAAGGCATTTCTGAGCCACACTAGATTGCTTTTTCAAGGCATCCAGCTGACTCTGTCTCTTTCCAACTTTATTTTCTCAACTCATTCCGTCTCTTTTCCTGAGTGTCTGGGCGAGGTTCACTCAGGGATCCGAGGGGCTTTTATGTTTGCAGTTGCTGCATTGCCTTTCTGAAACTTGTAGCAGTTGGGACTGGTCATAAAGGTGTCACACATATCTGTGTTTTAATTGACTGAAGGCTACCGAAAGCTGGGCTGCAGAAGTCCAGATAGAATAGCCTTTATCCCTTTCCTTTCTCCCTGTCTCCAAACCCTCCTGCTTTCTGTAACTTTTAATTTAATTAGCATGAAAGAAGCCAATTGGAAGGGCGTGGTGTTTTCAACTTGTAAATGTCCGTTAAAGGAGAGGGTGCCAGGAAGGCTCAGGAGACACGGTGAGACAGTGGTCCAGGCAGCGGGCAGTAAGGAAGGAAGCCACTTTGATCACCTGGCCCTGCATCTGGTTTTTATCAGCACGGAGCCCACTTTGGGGACTGAATGCTCATTAACAGATCGTGTGTACATGGTTTAGATAAACTCCAAGCGCGTCCCAGGCTGTGCAGCTCACCCCGTCGCTCGCACACAGAGGCACATTATTTCACCCTGGCAACCCGCTCTGTGCTGTGGTTTCTTACATAAGGGAGGCCGTTGTATTTGGACTGCCGACTTACCTCAGCGCTGCCATTTCACGCCATCCTTTTTCTCCCGCAGTCATTGGCTGCCCTGTCTGTTTCCTGCCTCAGAGTAGAATTAATTGAGGAGGGTGTTTTCTAGATCTTTTGAATTTGCCATCTCCCCTACCCCCAGGCCCGATTATAGAGATCCAGAGGTCCTTTCTCCAGGTGGTCCTTGAGACACTATCAAGGATGACAACCTGTTAAGAATTCTTTGATGTTTTCTCTGTTCAGACACTTAAAGAGACGCTGGAATTTGGAGCTTCTCTGCTAAGCTATAAACCAGCCGTTGCCATTGAATTTCATTCCAAATTCAATTTTGGCGCTAGCCAAAGATCTTTACCCAAGGAGTTTTAAAACAGTGCTTCTCAAACTGTGAAGAACAAACTCCCTTTTTTCTTTTTTGTTTGTTTGTTTTGTTTTAATTGTCTTTCAGTCTATTCCAAATTCTTACTTTTGTCCTCTATTCAGTGACACCAATCTACAGATCCCATAGTTGGATGTTGTGGTAATGCCAAATTGGTGCAAAAGTTCTAAATGCTTAGAAATTTCTGTACTTTTCCGGTCTCTAAATGGTAACAGTTTGATCCATGGACCATACTTTGAGTAGCAGTGGATTAAAGGATTATACTAGGAGAATCTGTGCCTTTTTGCTAAGTAGTATGGTTTAGTTCTTGACTCTGCAAGAATTATTAGTTAGGTAATGCCAGATAATCCTTGTTTCTCTGGCTTCCTCCTCCTCATCTCAGAGCAAAAGCCTTATTTCCAAAGAGTCTACTGCTGTCAGGTCTGGCCTGTGAGATGTTCTCACCCTACTGTGTGTATGTATTCCTGTGTAATTATGGATTTTCATTTTTATTACACTCTCTTGAGAGGTCCTCAAGGGCCGAGATTATTGTTTCCATCTTGGTATCCCCAGCACCTGGCACAGTACTTGGCTTATAGGGAGATGGAGTGAGAAGTGTTTGTTGAATGACTGGATAAATGATTTCGTTCTCAGTAGCCCTAAGCCCTTAAGTTTTTTTTTCTTTTTTGAAGGTTTTTGTTTTGAAAAATTAGGGGGGAAAAACCATAAAAGAAGAAGAAGAACAACAAATAAATACCCATCAAGATTTAACCATTGGTGCTTTTCACACACCTTGTGCGAATTAACCATGTGTAAATGTTTCCAGTATCTGGGGAGCACTGTTTCATACGTAGGTTATTTCCTGCAGTCTTCACAATACTCTGTGTAGTGGCTACTTTTACCCTCATTTTGCAAATGAGGAGACGTCAAGCGCTTTACCCAGGATCACGTTTACAGACATACACACATGAACACACATCTACCAATATTT